TTAGTAGTAGTAGTAGTAGTAGTAGTAGTGGTAGTAGTAGTAGTAGTAGTAGTAGCAGTAGCAGTAGTAGTAGTAGTAGTAGTAGTAGTAGTAGTAGTAGTAGTAGTAGTAGTAGTAGTAGTAGTAGTAGTAGTAGTATTCGTAGTCGTAAACCAAGAAGAAGAGAAATGAGCAGCAGTCGCACACATATAATCACTTGGTGGAGTTGTAGCAGTAGTGGTTGCAACTGTAGTTGTAGTTGCATCGCCCGTTGTAATATCGGCAGCATTCGAAGCAAACAAAGACGTAGTAGTCGTCGGAGCCGCGAACAAATACTTCAGTTGCCGTAGTACTGCATGCACTCGGCTGTGTTGTGGAAGACGCAGCAGTGGTTGGCATAACAGTCGTACGAAGAGGGGTGGTAGTACCAAGGGCGAATACCATGTACATGAAGAGGAAAGGAGGAGGACAGAGTACGAGAGGGAAGCGGGGAGGGAACAGGGAGCAGGTGGGAGGGACTGGGGAATTGACATTGTGGACGCATGGGAGCTTGATGTTCGCGGTACTCTGTGGTATGACGGGAGGGCTGAGGTAAGACCCCCCATATTCCCTATATTTTCATCCCTCCTTCCGTCCACCGCCCTCCCTCCTCCATTCCTCCCTCCCTCCTGCATCCTTCCTCCTGTCGTCTGCCGCCTCTTCCTGGGGCGTGGGGGGCGGGATGGGGTGGGTGGGGGGTGGACAGGGGGAGGCGAGGGGGTGGGCGGAAGAGGGAAGAGACAGGATGAGGCCATCCTCTTCCAGGTACACACGTAATACATCCTCCCTCGTTTTCGCCCGTTTTCCTCTTTCGGCTCCTCCTCATCCCCCTTTTTCCCCGTTCAGTTTATCCTCTTCGTCGTCGTCCTCCGCCTCCTCCACATGCGCGCGCACACCAAAGAGGAGGGAGGAGGAGAGCTCCATTTTGCCCGAGGTGGCCTCCGATCGTGGAGGCCGTGAAGCCGAACTCGCAGGCCGAGCGACTGGGCCTTCCCACAGGCGCGCCCTCCCTCGACGGATGCGGGGGAGGAGGATGGACGGAAGGACGTGGCGGGGGAGTGAGAGGAAACAGGAGGGATGAGGCGAGGGGGGAGCAAGGGACGACGGACGGAGGGACGGAGGGAGGGAGGGAGGAGCAGGAAGAGGAGAAGGAGGAGGAGAAGTATGAGTAGGAGGAGGAGGAGGCGCAGGAGGATGCGGAGGAGGAGGAGGAGCAGGAGGAGGAGGAGGAGGAGGAATAGGAGGAATTTCTGCTTATGGATCCGCCTCGTTGGGAGACAACCCACTGAAGACCCTGAGGCTTGTCAAAACACCATTCCTGGATTCTCCAACGCCACAAATCAACATGATTGTTGCGGCTTGGTGATCCGGAACCGTGCCAGGACACCACCCCTGTGATTTCAACACTTCGAGTCAACATAGCTGTTTCGCCCTCACAGTCCTGAGTCTTGCCAAAACACAATATCTGGCACGGTGGCCATGGGAACGAGTGAGATCCTTACAACTTTAGAATGGATGTGCACGGCGCTAATGCGATAACCACATTTTAAGAAGGAGCCGCTCTCCATCGATGAAACTCCATGCGAAGTTTACAACGAATGCGCGCGGCGCTAAGGCGAGAACCGCAGTTTGAAAACAAGCCCCCCTCAATCCGTGAAGCTCTTGGCAACTGTTGAAAACGAATGTGCGCGATGCTAAAAGTGAGAACCACATGTTGAAAACGAGCCGCCCTCAATCCGTGAAGCTCTTGAAATTTTATAACGACTGTGCTCGACGCTCAGGCGAGAGCTACATGTCAGCTTTCAAGCTTCAGGGTCATAAGTGGTGAGGAAGTCTCAGGCTCAATGCCCGGCCCGCCCTTTAGACTGCCATCGGGGTGCGACAGGGGGGAGGTATTTATATTAATAAAGGAAAAGAAATGGAGGAGGAGGAGGACGAGGACGAGGACGAGGATAAGGAGGAGGAGGAGGAGGAGGAGGAGGGGGAGGAGGAGGAGGAGAGGAATGAGGATGGATGGATGGTGTCCCGCCCAACCAGGGCGGCATCTGGAAACCCCATGCGTGGTCCCCTTGTCGCAGGGAGCTGCGCGCGCGGGAAAGCGGCGCCGGCGACCCTGCAGCGACCAGGCGGGGGTCCTCTGCTGCAGTGCTGCCCGCGGTTGGCAGCAAGACGGGTGACACCGCCTGACTGGAAGGAGTGGGGCGGGCTAAGCGGGGCCGCCCACATCGTACGGTTGCCAGACGCGTGGGCCCCACCGCTGCCCTGTCAACGCACGGCGAGAGGACACAATCACGAGAATCCGGTCTGGCAGTGGAAAGGAGGACGGAGCCACCCCGGGGAGGAGATGCGCCCCAACCCTTGCTCACCGGCTAAAAGAGAGCGCGCGTTCTTCAAACAATGTATAGGAGAAGCGATGGTTTACTAAAGCGAGAAGCGGATTTATCAAATTACGCCGCCGAACCAAAACAAGACAAAACATCATTTCGTAAACGCAGAGACCGGTTTTCCAAATTCAAAGAAATGTTAGAAATCAGGGGCCGTTTTTCTAAATCCCCGCTTCTATCATTACCATGGCTTGGGTGGCTCGATGACTGGCCCGTCCCAGAACCCCTCTCAGCCCAAGACCAGCCATCGCGGTCGCTGGTGGCAGGGAAGGCGGGCGGGCCGCGCGCTGGCCTTCCCATTCTTTCTTTGCCAGGCTCGCGGCCGACAGAGGCAGGCAGGGCCTCGAGCTTGATGCCACGGGAGGCAGGCAAGAAGCGAGGCGTCTACAAGTGGGAGGAGGCACGGGGTGAGCAATCCTGGCCCGCCACTCAGCCACTTGGCGGGAGGGAGGGCCAAGAGGGAGGCCCCAAAGGTCTCCTCCACCAGAAGGCATTCGTAGCCTTCTCGCGCCACGGCCCCAGAGACCCCCCGCCGGGGGGTCACCAGGTTCTCCGGGCAGGGCGCCGAGAACGGCCGCGACCTCGCCGAAGGGCGCCTGTGGGAGGCCCGCGGCCCGGTGAGTTCCAGATCCTAGCGAGGCCGTCTTGAGTCCGACTGCAGTTCCTCCTCCTCCGCGTCCTCCTCCTTCTCGTCCTCCGCCTCCTCCTCCTCCACCTTCTAGCCAACGTGTCGCATGAGGAACCATCGCTTGGGGGGAGAAGACGTGGTGGCGCCATGGCACTCTGGGCCCCAGGAGCGGCATCCAGCGGAATCAGTCCTCCTCCGCCTCCTCCTCCTCCTCCGCCTCCTCCAGGGAACGCGGTCAGGGCATTCGTTTCTCGTCTGTCTCGGTCGCCTGCTGGCGCGCAGTGCCCTGCGCCCGCGGGGGCCGAACTGTGCCGCCCAGGAAGGGCTCCCGGTGGAGCTACCTGAGAGAGGCGTGCGGCTGACGAAGGGTTTGCGCTCCTCCTCCTCTTCCTCCTCCTCCTCCTCCTCCTCCTCCTCCTCTTGCGCGGCGATTCGAGCGGGAGCCCACGATGGTCATGGACGCGCTTAGGAGGTTCTGGGGCCCCGTCTTCAAGGACCAGCCTGTCGACGAGGCGGCCGTCAGGGCCTACCTAGACCAGCACATCCCTGACTTCGAGCGGCCACTGCTGTCGGTCCCCTCGCTGGAGGCGCTTCGAGCCGCCTTTCGGCGCGCCCGGCCAACGGCGCCCGGGCCTGACCGGCTCCGCGCGGTTGCTTGGCTGGCGGACGAACGGCTGACGGACGCGCTGCACGCCCTCATGCTTGAGCTCTATGCGGGCAAGCCTGCGCCATGGGGCTTCAACTTCTCGCACATGGCCTTCGTGCCGACGGGCGACGACCCGACGGACGTGGTGGACGCCGCCAGACATGCAGCCAAGCTGAGGCCGCTCTCCCTCAAGAATTCGGACGCGAAAGCAGTGGCCGCAGCGACGAACAACCAGCTCCCGCAGCTCGTCTGTGAGCGGGCCCACGGCTCCCAGCAAGGATTCATTAGAGGAAGGAGCTTCCTCTCTTTCATCGTTCGTCAGGATGCGACTGCGAGAGCTGCCAGCCACCACCCTGCCTTCCTCCCCCTCTTTGTCTCCTTTGACCTCGCGGCTGCATTCCCCTCCCTGTCCTTGGTGTTCCTCCATCATGTGCTCGCGCGGCACCACATCCCGACCGGCTTCCAGAATTTGATCTCGGCTCTGTATATTAGGGCTCTCGCCCGCACCCGCTGCGGCTCCCAGGGGCTCCCGCTCTTCATGGTGACTTCGGGAGTTGACCAAGGCTGCCCCCTCTCGGGCACCATGTGGGCCTTGATCATGGACCCGTTTCTCCGGCATTTGGCCGCGCAGCTCAAATCGCCCGAAGCCCTGTCTTTCTGCCCTGGGCCATGCCGGTGGACCCCAGGGGTAGAACCTGAGTTTGGCGCGACGGCGGACGATGTGGGCGCCACCCTTCCCTCGATTGGCCTCCTCCCTCTTCTTCACCCACCCTTCGCCGCCGCCCGCGCGCTTGCGAATTTGGCGCTCCAGCCAGCGAGGTGCGTTTTTGTGCCATTAGGCGAGGCTTGCGATGAGGCCGCGGTGCGAAAGTTCAAATCTCGCATCGCCTCGCATATCCCTGCATGGGCAGACTTTGCCGTCAAGGGTGCGACCGATTGTTTCGGAATGAAATTCGCACCGCAGGCCACAATTGCTGAACAGCGGGTGTCCCCTGGGAGTGCATGGCGAAGCAGAGTTCAGGAACTGGCCCTCTCTGGTGCCCCGGCGGAGTCATGCTGCCGTGTGTGCAATGTCGGCGTAGTTTCGGTGCTCAGCTACGTCTGCCAACTATTCCCTCCTCCGCCTCCTCTCCTTCAGCGAGCGAAGAACGGTATAAAATAAACTTTTCGCTGTCGGGGGCGCCTGTCCCTGGGCCGCTGGAAAGTTTATACCCCTACGGTGCCACAGTAAGGGTACAAACTTTCCAGCCGCCCAGGGACAGGCGCCCCCGACGGCGAAAAAGTTTATTTCATACCGTTCTTCGCCCGTTAACTCCTTCACTCTGAGCGCCACGTCCTCCACCGCCTCCTCCGCCTCCCGCCCAATTCACGCGGCCTCTCGGAGCTCCCGGGGATCGGATCCTGGCTCCCGAGTTCCACGCCTCGCCCGATGCGGGCCCTGTGCGCTGCCGCTGCCTGGAGAACCACGTTCCACACGTTTCAGGAGGGACAAAAACACACAGACACAATTAATTGTCCATCCCCCCAGAAAATATAGGAAAATATGGGAATTGGGCGGGAAGACATAAACTCAGAAAATATGGGAAAATATGGGGGATCTTTTTATTTGTGTGTATTTATTTGTGTGTCCCAGGGCCCCTTCAACGTTGTGGACGGCGGGTGAGCGAGTTTGGCGGGGGGCTCCCGCGATTCTCAGGCAGCAGGCGGAAACGCACGGAGGCTTTACGCGCTGCTCGCGTGGGCTCCCCAGCCCGCCATTTCTGGAAGAGCCCGTCGTCCATGGGCGAATGCTTTGAACGTTTGCTCTCGGAGTCCTGGGCCCCGCCCAGGCATCGCCCGTCAGGCGTGGGACACGGCGGCCCGTGCCGCACGGAGCGAGACATCCACAGCGCCCGGCTGGAGGCGAGACTTCCTCGCCCCCAGCGGATCCAGCGAGTATAGTCCTCCTCCTCCTCCTCGTTTTCCTCCTCCCTCCTCCTCCTCCTCCTCCTTCTCCTCCTCCTTCTCCTCCTCCTCCTCCTGTTCCTTCTCCTCCCGTTCCTCCTCCTCCCTTTCCTCCTCCTCCTCCTCCTCCTCCTCCTCCTCCTCCTCCTCCTCCTCCTGTTCCTCCTCCTCACTCTTCCCCGACTCTTTCCCCTCCCTCCTTGCCCGAAGGATGCATGCGTGGCTTCCCCATGACCACCAGATCCCCGCAGCGGAGCTCGGGCGGAGATGGGAGGCGCTCCGATCCATCCTAGCTCGGTCTCCTCCTTCGTGGGCTTGGGCACACATCAAGACATTGTCCGGCGGATGGACCACGTCCGCACGAATTCCGAGCGCTACGGAGTGCCAGTGTTTGTTTGGATGCCAAGCCCGAGACTCCTTTCAACACTACCTTGTTTGTCCTCGTCTCCTCCACCTTCTCGCTTTCCATCGTGGTTTCCTCCCCGCCTGTCCTCTCACACGTCTGGGGCTTGGCCCAGTACCCGATAATGAACTCGAGTATCCCCGCCAGCGCTGCCACAATATCGTAATGCCGAACTTCCATATTTACCACAATCTGAAAGCTGACCTTGCGGGCAGGCCAAGAGCGGCCACGCCCACCTACCATTACTAAACACGAGCCGCAACCCTCGTCGCGATGCGATGCTATGGCCCTGGCGGTAGCTGAGTCACCATGGATTCCAGCTACGTGCGCTCGTCCTCCTCCTCCTCCTCCTCATCATCGTCATTATCATCATCAACCGCATCATCAACACCATCATCATCATCATCATCATCATCATCATCATCATCATCATCATCATCATCATCATCATCATCATCATCATCATCATCATCATCATCATCATCATCATTCACATCATCATCATCATCATCATCATCATCATCATCATCATCATCATCATCATCATCATCATCATCATCATCATCATCATCATCAGCGATTTCGCGAGGGAGCTGGACGCGATGGCGTTGGACGCACTCCCAGAGTTCCCTGTCGAATTCTGCTCTGGACTCCCACGCTGCACGAGATGCGGATTGGAGGGGACCGGGTCCTGCTGCTTCGCCTGCTCTGACGAGGACGACGCTGGCGGCTCCATCACTTTCAGCTATTTCTGGATCAGCTTCAGTTTCGAGTTGGTGGCCATGCACAACACCGATTGGAAGGAGTATGAACTATCTGCAACGCTCTCGCTTCGGGCGCCGCGTAGGCGTCCCTCCCGAGTGCGCGTCGCCCCGACTGCGCTTCGACGACAGTGCTGCTCTCCCTTGGTTACAGTCACTCCTCCTTCTCCCCTTCTCCTCCTTCTCCTTTTTCTTTTCCTCCTCCTCCTCCTCCTCGTCCTCCTCCTCTTGCTCCTCCTCCTCCTGCTCCTCCTCCTCCTCCTCCTCTTCCTCCTGAAGACCTCCGAAGTAATGGTATCGTCCATACGGAGTTCCCGGGGCTCTTTGGCAACCTCCCGGGGCCCGGTTCTTCATCCCAGATCGTGTTTGGGAGGTCCCGGGGCACAGCGAGGGCCCCCAGACGTTGAAACAGGGTGAGAAGCACTTGCGTGTTTTGTCGACACGAGAGGAGGGGGAGGAGGGGGAGGAGGGAGGGGGAGGAGGGGGAGGAGGGGGGGAGGGGGGAGGAGGAGGAGGAGAGGAGGAGGAGGAGGAGGATGAGGAGAGGAGGAGAGGAGGAGGAGGATGAGGAGGAGGAGGAGGAGGAGCGCACTCGTGGAGGAGGATGATGAGGAGGACCGACCCGTGGCCTGCCCGCAGGCTGGTTCATCAAGAAGATCGGCAACTGGACCGTGCCGCTCGCGGAGACGCCCGGCACGCGGAACTACATCCCCACGGACAGCTCTGGGGGGGGCGCCCGCCCGGGGGCAGGGCCATTCCCGATCGTCCTCCTCGGTCCTCCTCGATCCCCCTCCTCCTCCTCCTCCTCCTCCTCCTCCTCCTCCTCCTCGTCCTCGGTCTTTGGTCTCCTCCTCCTCCTCTCTCCTCGTCCTCTCTTTGTCCTCCTCCTCCTCCTCTCCTCCTCGTCTCGTCCTCCTCCCTTCTCCTCCTCCTCCTTCCTCCTCCTCCTCCTCCTCCTTGACACTCCTCGATCCTGCTCGATCATCTCATTCTCCCGATCCCTCCCCTTGACCTGCAGGGCGGGGCGGGGGGGGGGGGGCGGCGCCCTCCCGAGGAAGGCGCGGAGGCCTCTCGGAAGCCCTCCTGCGATCGAAGGGGCACTCTCGCCGATTCCTGCATGAGCGCCACGAACAAGGATGAGACGCAGGGAGGAGGAGGAGGAGGAGGAGGAGGAGAGAGGAGGAGGGAGGAGGAGGAGAGGAGGAGGATGAGGAGGAGGAGGGGCCGGAGGAGGAGCGAGAGAGGAGGAGGAGGAGGAGGAGGAGGAGGAGGAGGAGGAGGAGGAGGAGGAGGAGGAGAGAAGAGAGGAGGAGGAGGAAGGAGGAGGAGGAGGAGGAGGAGGAGGAGGAGGAGGAGGAGAGGCCGGAGAAGGAGCGAGGAGGAGGAGCGAGGAGGAGGAGCGAGGAGGAGGAGGAGGAGGAGGAGGAGGAGGAGGAGGAGGAGGAGGAGGAGGAGGAAGAGCGAAGAGGAACGAGGAGGAACGAGGAGGAACGAGGAGGAACAATGCCTCTAGATATCCTCGGCTCTCGTCGGTCGTCAAAGGGGGCCTATCGGCCTCCGGAGGCCTCGGGGGACCTCATGGAGGCCTCAGGGCTCTTCCCGAGGCCTCGGACTGTGCACCTGGCACTCACTTCGCGTCAGGCTCGGCGCGCTGAAGCGGCAGGCGTGGCAAGCGCGCGCGCATGACCTGCAGCCTGCAGCGGCACGCGCGCTGCGAGCCCAGTGGCCGCTTCGCAAACGACCTCACAAGCTGACGAGGCCGTGTTCTGCGGGTATCCCTACCCACCTGCCAGGGTGCCCAGAGATCCGAAGTCATTTTTTTTCAATGCAGGGTCCCCGGAAGTCCTGGCCCTTTCCCCAGGATCGGTTCTTCATCTTAGGTCGTTGTTGATGGCCCCGGAGTCCGAAAATCACTTCCAGAAGCCGAAAGCGGGGAAAAGCTGCTTCCGTCTAGAGTTTTTCAAGACGTTGGATGTCCGGGTAGGTTCTCGTATGCGGTGAACGCCAGGGTAACGCCGATTTTTGTTCGACACGCGTTCTTCTAGGCCTCCCAGATGGAGTCGGAGTAGATGGGGTCGGAGGGTCGCGCCGCATCGCCGATGCATCGCCAATGCGGCTCGATGTGGAGTCCGATTTGCTTCACGTCGACGTCGCCGATGCATCACCGACGTCGACGATGCATAGCCGGTGCATCGCCGATGCATCGCCGATGCATCGCCGATGTATCGCCGATGTATCGGCGATGTGGCGCGATCCTCCGACCCCACCTACTCCGACCCCATCTGGGAGGCCTACAGCTGTCTTTCCCTTTCTCTCTGCCACGCCGTGGCGGATGCAGCAGCTCGGCGGCCCTGGGCCTGTGGCACCGGCGGCAGGCAGCTCCCGAGAGGGGACGGCCCCCCCCCCCCCCCCCCAGAGGAGCAGAGCAGCCGGAGTCTCCAGCGGCCGAGGTGGCGCGCACCTCGCTCGCCCTTTGCGCCCCATGGGTGTCTGGAGAAAGCAGGCAAGGGCTCCCACGAGGGCGCGAAGTTATTCGCGCTTCGCGGTCCTCGTTGCTTCTCCCCTTCCTCCTCGTCCTCCTGTTCTCCCTTTGGGGGGGCGGCGCGAGAGCGCGAAGTTCTTCGCGCTTCACGGAGCGCGAGAGCGCGAAGTTGGGAGCCCTAGGTAGAGCGTCGTGTGGTAGGTCCGCGTCGTGTGGACGCGGCGGCGCCCCTGCCGAGGGCGTTCCAGGTTGAACGACGCCGGTGGTCTGGAGTCGGCCGACGTCGAACGATCTGCGCTGTCGGGCACCCGCGATCGCTTCATCCCAGACATCCGGCTGCTCCAATTTTTTTGGTGCGTGGACCCAGTAGGTCTGGACCACTTCCCAGGGGCCGGTTGTTCGTCCCGGCTCGTTCTTTGACGCTCCCGAGGCCCAGCGAGGGCCCCCGGAGGCCGAACACTGCCAAACACCGCCTGCCCCAATTTTTTTGGAGCGTCGGATCTCAGGGAGGGTTGCACGATCGATGCGGTGCCGGGAGCCAGCGCCGAAGTCGTCACGGCGCGAACTCGTCGTAGTAGCCTTGGGTTCGGCGGCCGCCTTCCCCCGCCGCTCCAGGCAGGCGCGTCTGTTGTGCGGTGCGTCCCACGCTCTGCTCGCTTCGCCGGAGAGCTCGTCGTCAAAGCTGGCACGGGGGTTGAGAAGGAAGCCCCGCTTGGAAGCGGCACCCTTCTGATGATTTGTGGTTTGGGCGTTCCACCTTGGAGTGCTCTTCCTTTCGGGTGCCTCCATGATTGAGGTGCCTCTAACCAAGAGCATTCCACTGTGGAGGAGAAGGAAGAACGAGGAGGAGGACGAGGAGGAGGAGGAGGAGGAGGAGGAGGAGGAGGAGGAGGAGGAGGACGACGAGGAGAGCGGGAGGGCCGCACCGTGTTGGCACTGCTGTGCCTACTAGCGCCGCTGCCGCGTGGTCTTGCCTTCCGTACCAGCACCGGCACCGCGCGGTCCTGCTACCTTGTCGTCGCTGCCGGTGCCAGCGGTAGCAATTGGAGCACGACGACCGTGCCGCGCCGAGGCCGCCATGCCCACGGGGCCTTGGGTTTTCGGCGAATGGGGCCTCTGTTCTCGACCCGCGTTGTCATGGCAGCGTTTCGACTGTGCATCCGTGTGCCCGCGCGCTCTGCACGCGGCCGGCTGCCTCGCTGCGTCGATTCTGCGGGCGTGGGTGCCGTGCACCCTGGCGTGGCCGGTCCGATTCGATTTCGGCTCCGTGCCGATGCAGCCCGAAGCTCGGTGCGACGCACATTCCGATACGGCCCGACTTTCCGATTCGATGCTGATTGATCTTGCTATTCCCTCGACAACATCACGTTCAACATTGCAAGGTGTTGTCTCCCTGCCCCCTCCTCCCCCCCTGTTCTCGCCGCCGTCGCCCGCCCCTCCTTCTGTCTTCAAGCACGCAGCCGAGTCAGATCCGAGATCCGATCTGGTCCTCCACCTCGCCCCGCCGCCGCCCTCGCCGCTGCCCTTGCCGCCCCCGCCGCCACCGCTGCCGCCCTCGGCGGCGGCCTCAGGCGGTCCTTCGGGACGATCTGGGCACCCCTGGAGAGCTCTCGATGAGGCGCAGCTGCTGGAGGCGCTTAGCTGCTCTGATGTGCACGTTTTGAAACGTAGCACGTGCCGTGTACAAAACGTCCGTGTTCAAAACGTATGTACGTGTTCAGTCTACGTGCTGAGCTCCGTCTCCACACGCTGCAAGTTGCGTGCTGCGTACTGGGGCAGCGAATGCTGGAGGGCACCCCGAGGCTGGAAGACCGCCGAGAACCAACGAAAACGCCAGACAGATTCAAAGTATCGTCGTCGTCGTCGTCGTCGTCGTCGTCGTCGTCGTCGTCGTCGTCGTCGTCGTCGTGGTCGTCGTCGTCGTCGTCGTCGTCGTCGTCGTCGTCGTCGTCGTCGCCGTCGCCGCCGCCGCCGCCGCCGCCGCCGCCGCCGCCGCCCCCCGGGCCGGTCCGGCGGGGAGGCTCTGAGGCCCCGGCCCCTGCGCCTCGTGGTGCAGAGGCCGCCCGAGGAGGCGGGGGGCGGCGGCGCGGACGCCGCGGCGGCGGGCGCCCCCGCGTGGGGCAGGCGCCCCCCCCCTACCCCTTCGTGTGCGCCGCCAAGATAACCTCGCATCCTCCTCCTCCTCCTCCTCCTCCTCCTCCTCCTCCTCCGCCGATGCGGAGGGCGCTCCACCCGCTCCGTGTCGGAGGGGGGGGGGATCGGATCCCAGACGTGATGGCGTCGCAAACAACATCCGGACGGGAGGTTTTTGGCTACTTTCGGCCCCGGGGGGCCCCCGCCGGGCCTCGGGATCGCCAAATAACGACGCAGGACGAAAAACCGGTCCCGGGGAAAGGGTCGGGGCTTCCAGGGACGCCGTCCTGAAAAATCAGGGCGTGGCATGTCTGGGATCGGATCGGCCGCCCCCCCCCGGTGTCGGAGGGGAGGATCGGCTCGGATCGAGTCGGCAAGAGGAAGCGTCCAGCCCCACAGCAGCGCCGCCTGGCCCCACGCCCCTCTTTTTTTTGGGGGGGGGGGCGCTATAAGGTGGAGCCGCGAGCTCACAAGTCAGTGAGGGCAGGATTTGTATCACGCCCTGCCCCGCGGTCAGAAACCAGGAAGGGCGGGAGGCTCGGATCGGCTTTAGTTGAATCCTGTCACCCGGGTTGGATTTAAAAAAGTCCGATGGCTCGATCAACTTCGCATATAATCTTACAAAGGCTAGATCCAGCTCTAATAGAATCCTGGTGTGGCTGGATCCTGTTCTAATGGGATCTTACAGAGGCTGGACCCAGCTCTAATCGAATCCTGTTATTCGGGCTAGGTCCAGTTCTAATAGAATCTTACTGGGGGTCGAAACTCTTACCCTGGGTTCAATCCAGCTCTAGTGGGATTCTACGAGCGCTAGATTTACATCTAATAGGATCAGGATGCAGCTCTAGTAGAACCCTATTGTTGGAGCTCGCTTCAGCCTCAGTGCAAGCCTACGAAGGCCCGATCCAGCTTAAATCGGATCTTACGCAGGGTAGGTCCAGCTTTGATCGAATCCTATCAGGGCTGGATATAGTTTTAATCGACCCCCCCCGCCCCCCTGGTCGGTCTGAGCCGGGAGGGGGTGGGGGCCCTCTCAACCCCCACCCCTCGGTTCGGAGTGGGAGGCTGTTGTGCCCCCTGTTGTGCCCCCCCCCCCCCCCT